CCAAATCCAATCCCACACCAATACTGACAACTCGACCTTCCAGATACTCCCACATGTCGGCCACTTCTCACCACCTGCACCATGTCTGGCCCGGACAGTGGGACAGCGTCCCCTAAGAGTTCCCCCGCCTCTTTGTGTATTTTCAACAGAGCAGCCAGAGTGGATCTTTTTAAATGGATGTCATATCACGTCACCTCTCCACTGAAAACCCTCCACAGGCCCCCTCATCATCTGGGGTAAAAGTAAATTCTAACGTCCAAGCAAGGGGCTTGATGAGCTCCTGTCGCCTCTCTGACTTCTCGTTCTGCCCTGCCCGCGTCCGCTCCATGAGAGAACTGCCTGGGTCTCCTTTGCTCTTCTTCTAACACGAGCCACTGCCCCACAGCTTGCCCTCACCCGTTGCCTCTGCCCAGCCCACGATGCACCCACAGTCCACGAGGCTCACAGCTCAAATGTCACCCCTCCATCAGGGCATCCATTAAGACTCTACCCCTCTCTCCTTGCCCCTCCAACATTTCGTTTTAGTTGACACGTTGTACACTTCATCCACTTAGGTGCTTTTTCCTGTTTCTCCCCAGTAGAATGTAAGCTCCAAAGAGGCAGGGATTTGTGCTTCTTTTATTCACTGCTGACCCCCTCAGTGCAGAACAGAAGGCACTCAAATATGTAAATGCACAGTGTCCCTTACTCATCAGTTTGGAAAATGGAAAGAAGACTGGACATGCAGCGCTGAACAACGTACGATGACATTTAGTTCTGGAAGTAAAATAAATCTTTCTTTTGAGGTTGTTAGCGGGAACATATTTCTATAGTAATTACGATTTTTGTGATGATGTATTTCACCCACATTTACTTGAAAGCAAATTATTTCTATGGATGGATGGTGGGCTAGTTATGACATGGTGGTAATGAGGCTACTCAGATTTGCTGAATCCATTAGTCAAGTTACTCAGTGGTTACACGTACATTACTTGCTTTGGTTTGTTTTTGTCATTGTTCTATAATGTAAAAGGTCTTATTATTCACTGTGTAGCACCCAGAACATAGTAGTCACTCAATAAATATTTGCTGAATGAATGAATGAATGAACAAACAGTAACCTCCTTGACGGCAGGAATTACGTTAAAGATAGTTGGTGATCAATAAATATTAGTTAATGATTAAAGACAGTCATCAGTAAATGAATAACAGCAACGGGCAGATATATAACTTTGCATATGAGGTTGGGTTATTCTATGGTGTGAGAAATAGGGCATTGCAGACCATGAAAATGTTAATAACCTGACAATTATAGATTTAATTCTATGTTTACACATGAAGTAAATCCAGTTTCTAGCTCTCAATTCCGCCTGGTAAAGAAAAGCAGTATCATCTGACCTTGAGATCATGTGTGCTGCAGCAAGCACTTCTAAAGACAAGTGTAGAATGAGTAGGATGAAGAATTCTAGAATATGGAGGAAGATGAATGTGGCTATAAGACAGGGTTTTTTTAGATATAACATGAGTTAATAATGTCAATATTAAATTCAGGCTGACTTCCAAAAATTGGCCTGCCATTCTTTCAGCCATTTGTGTATGTATTCAGCAAGTACTGATATATATACATTGAGTCTCTATAAAGTGCTGGCACTGTTTTAACAAATAGCTGTGTATGCACCAGCTAGTTACTTCTGTGACTTGCTGGAAGCTAATAATTTAGGTAATGCCTAACTTAGAGCTCCCTAATGAACACCACTGATATAAGCTCGATAAATAATTAATGAATATAAATCAAATTGCTCTAGGCAGAAGAGATATTTATTATAAAGGCAACTGACCATTAATAAAATTGAGTTATTGCCAGGGGAACAAGTAGGAGTTAAGAAACTGTGTCACACGAGAACAAAGGGAAAAGTAAATCGTATTTAAACAAGCACAACATACACGATAATGTGAAAGAAAAAGGAGCTCAGGCAATATGCTGATGATCCTAGCAGCAACTGGGGGGAAATGCCAAAGAATAGGGGAATACAATAAAAGTACAAAAAAAGGAGTGTAGAGAGCTCACCTCATCAAAATGGAGCTATCATTGAGTCTGACAATGACATGAGGGTGTCCCCGTTCAGGACAATGATTTAGTACTTCTTCAAACTGTTGTTATTTTTCTAAGCATCTGTTTTGGGAAATGGGACTGGTGCCAGTGCTTATTGATTTTCCTTGGAAGACACTGTTTAACCTCAACGGGAGCAAGGCACATGTATATTTCTTCAGTTATGCAAAGAGTCACAAGGAAGACCTAAGTAATTTGCCACTATATGTCTAACTTATTTCTATAATTATAGTGTAATTGACACCCCAGGTACCAGTCCTCACGGGCTGCCCTAATCCCAGCTCTGGTTATAAACATGCTTCATTCCTGCCGTCTGGGTGGTCCAAGTTATTTGCTACTTCTAGTCTATCAGTGGTATTTCTGATACCCATGCTACACCCGGCAACAGTCCCTATATGCTGAAGGGGAGTCATCTGCAAGTAGTTATAGCTTCTGCACCTTGAAATCACAACCCTGCCATGTACTGAGCCCTTCTCTTGGCTGTCCCTGTGACACTAAATTGTAAGAATCCTATGAGATGCCTAGACCAGGACTCAGCGCAGACACTACAAAGAAGGTAGATCCTCTTACTCTGTTCCATCAGAAATAAGAAACAGATATTCTATAATGAAGGAAGGAAATCTTGGCTGGCAGTGAAATTAAGGGCTGACAAACTCTCTGAACTCAAGAAGGGGAAGTCTTCATCTAGCAGTGTACATTGAGGAAATGGAAGAAGGATTTTAAGAATTCAAGCTCAGTCGCATGAATATTGGTTCCTGAGAATTGCATGAATGAAATGAAAATAGAAAGCCTAATTTGGCAAAGGTTTGGTGTAACTAATCATAATTACTGAGAGAAAATAAATGGAGGCGGGCCTTGAAAAAGTGACTCTCAACTAATATTCTGAATCTCTCGACTAATATTCAGAAAAAAAATAAAAACATAGGAAAACCACAAAAGCTATGAATCTAACTCTTCTATCTCATTCTCATATAATTATAGCCCAGCTTCGCCCAAGTCATCCAGTGGTTGAACTACCCAAAAAAAAAGTTTCAAACAACTACTATAGACCAAGCCATTTCTTTAAAAATCTAGCCTGGTGTCCTATGAGTTCTGAGAATTCCAAAAAGTTCACAGTTGATGATTTCCCAGTATCACTCAAAAGACCACAGGGTTCCCTTCTGAGATGTGTTTTAAATTTTCCTTTAATACTAAGCAAATACTAAGTAGATCTCACTGCCTTTGTGCTGACTTGTTAGTTTAATTCCTCTTAGGCTCAGGTTCTATAAAGTGAAGATTTGTTCTTATAAATGAGTTAAGTACTTTTTCATGTGTTTTCCTGTAGAGTACTAGTTCCCCCAAATGATTCTATTTCAAGTTAAATTGTCTTCATTTCCTTTACCTTTCCTTATTTATTTATTATAGCTGCCATCTTCCAGGAGTCGAAAGGAACACATTTCTAGTGATATAATACACTTCTACTATAAAAACAAAAAAAGTTTACAAATTCTTGAGGGACAAATTAGACTAAACTAGACCAAATTAAACGTCTTACAAGATTAAGGAAATCTCCATTCATGGTCTTCATCCTAAACGACTTCTGCTTAGGATTTTAAAAAGGGGGAAGAAAGCAGTGTAGTGGGATTGTGTTTTTTAAAAAAGGATATGTTCAAGTCCTAAGGCTACTATCTGTGAGTGATCTTCTATGGAAATAAGGTCTTTGCAGATCAAGGTAAGATAAGGTGGTATTGAGTTAAGGTGGACCCTAAACCCTACGACTGGTGCATTTATAAAGAAAAGAGAGGGGTATTTGGACACAGAGACACAGGGAAGAGGGTCACGCGATGATGGAGGCAAAGACTGGAGTGATGCATCTGTAACCAAGGACCACCAAGGACTGCAAGGGATCATAGGAGCTAGAAAGAAACAAGGAAGAATTCTTCCCTAGAGCTGACACAGGGCATACAGCTTTGCCGACACCTTGATTTCAGATTCCTGGCCTCCAAAATGTAAGAGAATAAAGTTCTCTTGTGTTTAGCTATCAAATATGTGGTAATTTGTTAAGACAGGCAGCATGACCCTGGGGAGAAAGGACAGACTGTGGACAATGACCTTAAGTTCAGAGATATAGTTTGTTTTTTGACCTATGGCAAGTTGCTTAATATCTTTGAGCACCAATTTGCTTGTATGTGAAATTTTGAGGGCTCATGTGAAAAGCCAGGCACGTAATACAAAATCATTAAGGAATTACGCAATTTTTATTAATAAAGGGAAAAAAAGCAAATCATTCATTCTTATTCTTATATTCTAGTATGCTTTCTAAAATATCCTGCATAATTTCTTAAAATCTTTGTTAGAGATAAACTAATCAGAAAGAATCTCAATTCTAAAATAATTATAGTACGTGCGAGGACCCATGTCAGGGTCTAAGCTGTAACTCAAGACAATGACAACAAATAACTCCAGTGATTTTTATACTTAGAGTTTTCACTTTCATGTAAACAAAAGTTGTAGACACTTCTTTGCTAGATTTAAACAAGAGAAGAAGATTCAATATAAGCCACATAGCCTTACTATCATATACCTAATCTGGCTAAAAATTAGGAGAATGAATTGAAAGACGAAACAACAATTATCAAACCATTTTAGTTAGCACTGACTTGCGAGGTATCAAGGCATATAATTTCCAAGAAAAAGGCAAGAGGAATAGAGCTTGGTGTGACATCTACACAATTTGTTTTATGAACTATGTGGTGACCCACAACCTTAGTCTCTAATTATCTTGTAATTCCAGGCAAATCAGTGATGACATATACACACATTTTTTTCTCACCTGAAGTATTATATATTGTGAAGTATTATTGGTTAAATATGCAGACTTTTATATGCCATCAAATCTTCAAATGGTAATAAACTGAATTGCTTTACTTACTAATACAAGCAGTAGGACAACATCAGGGTTATCACATGCACAAGCAATGTGCATTGGTGTCCAAAAATCTTCGTCCTGGTGGTTGACATTGGCCCCTCTGTCAATCAGGATCTCTGCAATGAAGACATTATCATACCGGGCACACTGAAAAAAGAAAAAAAGAAATAAAAGAAAGTATACTATGATAACAAACTATGATAGGCTTATTTGGAATAAACCTAATCCACATTTCCTTTCCATAGGTAGACAACTTCAATGCCAATTTTTGAACTTGGGAGGTGGAGCTAAACTGGGGAAGAATGTATTCATGTTCCCCAACTAACCTACAAGGAAAGAAGCATATGTAAGACTGAAAGGAAAATTGAATCCATGGACAGTGGAAAGAAAAATAGACTAGATATTATAGAAGACAAGATTAGTCATCTGAAGGCAGTAATATAAATTATACAAAATGACACACAGAGAGAAAAATGACAAAATAAATGAACAGACCCTCAGTGAGTTGTGGGAAAACTTCAAACTGATTGATAACCCCTGAGACTGACAGCACAGGAAATGGGTACTACAGAGATATATGTATGTTTTTGTTATTATTTAATTACCTTTATAATTAGTCGTTAGAAAACAGCCCAATTTTAAAAAGTAGGCAGAAGATTTGAACTTTGTCAATATTTTATAATAACTATAAAGGGCGTATAACCTTTAAAAGCTATGAATCACTATACTGCATACCTATAACTTATATAATATTGTACATCAACTATACTTCAACTTAAAAAAAGATACATGAATTGTGGTTCACAATTATAACACAGTCATTGAAGAATCTCCGTATCTTTCTTCATTCGCTGGTACTCTCAAGAATGTACAAAAAGGACAATGCAAAATCATGGTGCACATTCCATATGGAAGGAGATTTGAGGGGTGCCACTTTGGGGACACATGGAAGCACTTGGGGCAATGGCAAACACATGAACTTTGAAGGCTTAGTTTCAGTTTTGAACTAAGATATCTGTGTATCTGATGTTCCATGTCATGTGTAGCAATAACAAATAGTCCCTACCATCGGGGCCTGATGATGTGAACCACGACCCCATCCACACTCACTGCAGGTTTGGGTACAAAGACTGATAAGGTGAGGACCAGAGAATAAAAGCTAATACATCCATTTTAGAATCTGGGGCCTGGACCCAATTTCTTTTAGGAAATTCATATGCAAGTAATTCCTATTCTTCTTTTTCGTTTTGAAAGCTCCCTCCATAATCAAACCAGATGTGATCTCATCCTTCTGTGCCTGTCAAGATGTCCTCAACCTGCACGTCAGAAATCCACAGTGATGATTCAAACATACCTAAGGTTTAGCTTTCAGTCTTTTACCAAAACATAGTTAATTAGATACCGTGTTTAAAGTGATACCCGCCCTCTCAAGTGACGTAAGTTTTAGATTCACATTTCAGAGGATCGTGAATAATAATTTGACAGCAATAAGTACCTTCTAATCATACTTGTCTGCAAAGATGATGATGGCTGAATATTCCTGGTACAATGTTCTTACAGTATTATTGCTATATAGTAAACTTCATTCTCCCTAGAAAGAATTTTCATCAAGCTAGAAAATCTCCCTCCCAATTCAGGCAGTTTTTCACCATGTTTAGCGATTTCTGGGGACACTTTATGGAACCATAAGAATGGCTGAGGCCCCGCTCTGTCACCCTCAACAGAACTCAGACAACATCAGCTATTTCCACCTGGAGACAAGTCCCCAGCTCCTCCTGTCACTGTCATCTCCTTCTTGAAGTGCCAAGCAGGACTAGCTACATAATTTATGCAAATAGAGGGCCCTTTATTCAAATATTCCTAAGAATTTAAAGATGGCGACAGCAGAGCATGAAAGCAAGCTTGGGCCCTTCTAAGTACAAGGCACACGCCATGAAGCCTGTCCTGAATTTTGAAGCCCCTTGACCAACCTGCCCCCCAGGTGCCTCATGTCCACACACTCTTCCTTTCACTGGACCTCTGGAACAGTCCATTTCAAGCAAACGTTCCTCATCTGGAAATGTCCAGAGAACCTAAGTGGAAATCTATCTCTCTGGAAACACCATCTCTCCTGGAGCCTTCCCCTGTGCAGGTAAAGTTATTCCTTCCTAGGACCCTGAAGAAGCTGGATTATTTTCTCAGCTTATCATGGATTCTTCTAGATCACTGCATGTTCACCTTCACGTGCTTCTTTCTAAGATTCACTCTGTCCTTACATACAATGCTCTTCCCCCAACCTGGTCCAAGCCTTCATCAAAGGTTTAGGAACCATGACCACGGTCTTTGCTCCACTTTTGAGCACCACCAAACAATGAGGCATCAGGTACATTGGGTCACCCACCCTATACGAGAGTTGTAAATGTCTTCCTTCCAGTACTCAGGAATCTTCACCTACCTTGTACTTTAGTTGCCCATTCCTCATGACCAAGATTAGCTCCACGATGAAATATTAAATTCTGCAGTCCCAATCCGTGACCAGAATATTCCATTCTGCCTCTCAGGGTACACTTAGAAAACAACATGGCCGATAGCTCCTTCCTCTGAGACGTTCATGGAATTGACCACAGTTAGAAAGTGACCACTTACACTTTCAACACCAGCTCAGTGGTTCACAATTTCTCTGGCAATGCATCCTTTCACTCATTTTTAAGTTTGTAAACAACGGTGGTATTTCTCAACGTATAAAAACCCACTACAACGTGAATTATTGATTCAGCCCCAAAGGCTCTGAAAACCATAGAAACCAAATCACAAATAAAGACAACTTTAAACTTCAAATGTGTTGTCTTTTCCCCCCACATTATCATAAGGGGTATTTTATATGTTTTAGTTCTGGTTGGCTAAGGAGCAGTATGTCCTGAACGACCCTGAGATCTACCCTCAGAAAATCAAAAATTCGATATACACTGTGTTCACACACTAAATCCTAGGGTTCACAACTGTAAGTTATCTGTTGCCAGTTTTTTTTTTTAAAACTGGAGTCAGATCTACTGTAACGTAAGCTTTCTCGATGATTATCTATTTTCAGTATCTATTTTCCCTCCTCTGTGTTGATTACAAAGCCGTTGGGACAGAGAAGACCAGCAAAGAGGTACTAGGACAACAACCAATTTGATGCAGATTCATTTATTGAGTGGATACCGTGTGCCAGGTGTCGTTCTGATATTAAAAACTATGTATTTCTGCACCGCCTGGCAGCTCTGGGGGGAGGAGAAGCAATAGGATTTACACAGTCAACTTGGATTAGCCAAGTTCCATTTTCTTGTCCTGTGTTTATGGGTTTTTAGCGGTTCAGAAACATTTCTACAATGAGAGACAGGCAGAGACAGAGAGAAAGAGACAGAGACAGAGAGAGGGGAGAGAGAGAGATACAGAGAGGCAGAGAGGTAGAGATTTATATCAGTAGCAAAACGAATTCAAATCTGTTGCAATTTCCAAAATTTTTGACATCACTCTGGAACTTCCATATGGTCCTGTGCATTCAGGGTCAATCCCATGGGCCGTGCTTTTCAGCCAGTGCTTGGATCTCTGCCAAGTCACTTCCATTTCTTTGCCACTATATCACACTGAAGGATCGTATGCATTACAGTGTCATCTTGAATATACTTCGTATCACTTTCGCTTTGCATGTATCTTCTCCCTGGTAAGTATTTATACTCCAGATGACCTTGCCATAGATAAACTATCCAGAATACTGCACTGAAGTACAGTTATTATTTCTACCGGCATTCCAAACAGCACAGCTTCCGGCCAACGGGACCAGACTCTAATTATGGAACAGGTCGTTGCTAAAGGGGTTCAGATGTACCCCTGATGCACATCCTGAAATTTTAAACTCCTAATAACACTGGTATCCTTTTCAGTGAACGTACACTCTGCTCCTTCAGCTGCAACACTGGTTTGCTTCGCTGTGAATCGCCAAGATTTTATTAGGCAATGCTGTATTCCAGGCACTGTGCTTGGCAATGTAACCGTAAAGGACCATGACATGGTAATCACCCTTGAGAAACAGACAGTACAGTTCAATGAGATGGAGGGTCTACAGAGCATTCTACAGAGTCACAGCAGAGGGTCCCCAGCTGCCTGGTAAGAACTGGACAATTAAGTATGGGAACACGAGGATTAAGGGGCAGGGGTTGAGACATTCATAACCCACTGATTAAATACGTATCCACTGAGGACCTGCCACATCCCCACCATACGCCAAGCCAGAGGGTTGGTATTATGAACTAGATGTCCTCCCTAATCAACAGCTTACATTCAAGGGGGCAGTCAAAGGAGGCAGTCAAAAGAGAGGGAAGATGCGCAAGTCCAGTCAGCCAGGGAGCTGCCTCAGAGGAGAGCCCAGAGTAGGAAACAGTCTGAAAAACACTGAGGAGGGATGAAAATAGGCATTCGTGGGATTTCATGAAACCTGGCATGTCTAGAGAGTCAATTAAATGATTGGAACTGTTTGCTTAAGGAAGGCCTCTCTGAGTGGGGGAGTTTCATACTTCCCTAAGGGAGAACCTTTCAGGATGCGACACTCCAATTCTCCTAGAAAGACCCACACCAGTGGTTTCAATGCTGGTTGATTGAAAATTTTGTTGGACGGGAGCACAGTCCCAGGAAGTCTGTGTCTAATTGCCTTCACCCTGTAAGAAAGGGTTCTGATTCTTGACAAATAGAATTCCATTGTTGCACAGATAAAACAAAACAGAACAAAACAAAAATCTCACCAGTAACTTCACTTGGGAATTTTTCTTCTTTATAATTGATGTTGAATGAACCAGTTCTGTGTGATCTATTTACTCAAAATGGAAAAGTCACTCCCTTCAGTTTCTGACGGCCTTCCAAGGATCTCCACAGCTTGCTCTTCCATTGCTTTTTCACCCCCTAGGTCATGCACCTGGGCCATCACAATAAAAATGCACCCACGGTTTGCAGAACAAAGGTATGATTTTCATTCAGGATCCAGCTGGATACTGATCTACATCCTGGACTCAGACTTTCCAGTTATGATGCCATGATTCTCATGGACCAAAGAGATGTGGGACTTTTTTATTTTTTTTTCGGTACGCGGGCCTCTCACTGTTGTGGCCTCTCCCGTTGTGGAGCACAGGCTCCGG